ACATAGGTCAGAGTTGAAGAAAATTAATCTATCATTGACCAAATTAGCAAGAAGGAAACATGCTCTTTGTATAAGTCAAAAGCGTATACATGCAATATTTGTCAACATTCCTACTGTTAATCGATTTATTTCATGTTTGTTTTCTATTTATATCCTATCAAATTATGTGTTAGTTGCTAGGATTGTTTATTTTACTAATTCCTATTTGGACTGCGAACCGAGATGATAACTTCCAACCTAAGAGGAATATATTATTGAGATCCATCACACTTGCCAAAAGTTGTTATAATCGTCTTCGTGTGATGCATTCTGGAGACTTTCCAGGTTTATTGATATTTTCAGTATTTCATTTTCCTTCATTTATTACAATGTTAGAGTTTGTGACCAAATTTCTTTCTTATATTGGAGTTTTCATTTTATTGCACTGGTTGAAGTGGTAGAAGTGGTTGGAGGTCAAGTATATCATCGAAATAAAGTTGCTTGCTAAAAGAGAAGGCATGGTAGAGAGTAGAGAATATGATTTGTCATCAGAAAATGAGGTCGCTGCTTTAATTGTTGATGATACTGGGGAGCAAACATTTTCTCCTGGTATTGTTGTCCAGTATTAAAGTCATGAACTGGCACAAATTAGTATATATCACCCAAGTTTAATGGTTTTGCTATATCCCATATTATTTCCACATGGCAGGATGGTTGGCACGCAAATATTCCATACTCTGAGGGCGAGGATGAGGATGCGGGTGGATACAATAAGAAGAATGTGACCCAATATAATTTTTACAACTATAGACTCAAAACTAAACTGGAAGAATCTAACACATTGCTATTTTGTGGAAAGTTGTTCCAACAATACGTTGTTAATGCATATGCATTGGTTGAGGTTGAGCATTTGGATTGAATTAAAAACAACTAAACAATTTTTGGGAAAACATGTGCATGTAAGTTATATTAGTAGTTTTACTTTAGCATCCAAAGTTCTTTATTTGTTCGCTAACTATTATTTTACAATTTTAATTATTATGATAATTTTTTCATTACAAATGTAATACCATTGCAATTCAAAATTGTAGTCTGCCTCATGCTCATTGTTTAGTTTTCCTTGCTGCAGAAGACAAATTAAATAGTCCTTCAAAAGTATGTTTAGTTATATATGTTGAAATCTCATATCCTATAGCAGATTCTGAATGTTATGGAGCAGTTACAAAATTTATGTTTCATGATCCATATGACATACAAGTACCTGAAGTTTCATGTAGTACAATAATTGGTGTATGCTCTAAACATTTTTCAAAGGGATTCTGCAGCCAAACAACTATTGATGGCAATGGTTTTGCAAGGTACCGACGCCGAGAGAACAACAAATCGTAATGGTGAATGGAGTCTCACTAGATAGTCGATTTGTCCTTCCATGTAATAGATACCTATTGTTGCAGTAAATATATCCCCACTAGAATAATCTAATATGCTATTTAAATTATTGGGCTCTCCCATCATATTAAATTGAATGATTATAGGAAGGAATCTTTTTCCTTTTCAAATTAAGTATTATTCATAATAATAATAATAATAATAATAATAATAATAAATTATCAAATAAATTTCATACGGTAAAAATAGAGAATGAGCTTTTTGGACATATCCAAAAAATATATATATTTCCACTTTTGAAAGAATTGTATTATAACTTTATATTGTTTAAAATTTAAATATCTCTTTAATTAAATTTATATGAAAATTCTTATTATATAACATCAAAACATAAACATATTACATAACTAGAATTACCTTTACATTTAAATAAAAAATTTATTACTTTATTATTTCAGTAAAATTTTGTTATTTTATTATAATTTTATGTGAATGTTTGAAGTAGTGTAATCAATTTATTTTTTGTTTAGAGCTATCAAGTATTTGTTCAAATATATCAACAAATATGAAGATAGTGCAATGGCAACTTTAGCACCGAAACCAATTGGTAATGGAGAACGCCAAAACTAGGAAAAATCTTAAGCATCATGTGTTTGTATTGATGAGATTAAAACATTTATAGATTGTCAGTATGTCACATCAGGTGAGGCACTCTAGAGACTTTTTAAGTTTGATGTTAGTTGTAATTCACCTTCTGTGTTACGTATGTCATGGCATTTGTCTGGGGAGAATAAAGTAGAGACAAAGGAGAACGAAAAAATTGAAAAAGCTATTGAAAAGAATGAAACATCAATGCTATTAGCATGTATGGAAATAAATGCTCATTCTTCCGAGGCACGAAAATATACCGTTGTGGAGTTCTCTCAATATTTTGTTTGGAATTGCAAATTGAAAAGGTGGTAGAACAAGGTGTGTATTGGAAGATTATATTATTTTTATCCATCTAGCAAAGAAAGATTTTATCTTCGAATGTTGCTGCATTTAGTCAGAGGATGTCGTTCTTATGAAGAAATTAGAACAATTAATGATGTCTATGATTCCTTCCAAAAAGTATGTTGTTCTTTTTAGTTATTGGCAGATGATGATGAGTGGAGTGTCTGAAGGAAGTTTCCTTATGAGGTTTTTTGTAATTAAAGTAAGGAATCTGTTTGTCACAATTATTATTCACTACCAAGTTTCTGATGTGCAATCTTTGTGGGAAAAGAATTGAGAATTATTGAGCGATTGTATCCTGTTCAATCGTAGAGAGGAGCTAATTTTTCCAAATCTGCAGCTTTCTACTTTCTACGGGTGATATCAAAGATATATGCTTAGTGAAGATTGATAAATTATTGTAGAAATATTGGAAGTCTATGGTTGATTTCCTAGAGTTGGACAAAATAAAAACGGAGTAATTATCATTCTATTTGAGTGAAAACAGTTATGGCGATGGACCAAATTCACCAGTAAAAAGCACGAAAGCACCTCAACAGCTAAATTCAACCAAAACACTCAATGAGCTAAATCAATTAAAATGCAAGGATGAACAAACCGTAAATATTTTTCATAACATGGACAAGGTAAATTCTAAGACCATGACAAAAATATTTGTATTTGAAAATATCTCGTAAGCTCAAAATTTTGTGCGCAATAATAAAAACAGGAAAACAAGGAAGAAATTATTCAAATGCAAAAGAAGGAACAGGCGTCGGGTGATATTGGAGACCAATATGATGAGTAATATCTGATGATGAGTAAATAAAAGAATTTTTTCACATAACTTTTCCTGACATATGATTGTCTTTCATTTTTTCGTAAACAATTATACTTTGTAACATTATGATGTTATCTTTTGAATGGTTGTTTATCATTTTTTATAAAACAATTATACTCCGTAATTCGGTTAGAAACTTAGAATATAAAAACAATATGATGTCATATTTTGAATAGTTGAAGTATTATAATAATTTGAATTCTTTTATGCTACCAAGAAATTAGAATGTTATGTAATTTCATAAACCTTTATGTTTAACATACTACCAAAGAAACGCTAATCTCACATACAATTTGCTATGATTATTTACGTGATTGGCAAATGAATCCGGCCAAACGGCCGGGCCCGTGACTAGTTGCTTGTTCGATACATACTCTTAATCGCAATTCTCAATTAGTCTGAATTAATGAAACCCCCGCCTTACCATGCATTATTAGCATTTTCCCTATAATTTTTCATCATCAATGGCTAGATCCTTGTTCACCCTCCACGGGGGAAAATAATTTTTTCGTTTAATTTATGAATGCGAGGTCATCGTATTTGAAATTGAAGGCGCCATTAACTAGACTAGTGCTTTCTTCGTTGCTCATCATCGGTGGCAAGAAAATAAGAATGCTCTAGAAATTAAACAAATTTGACTCTCGATTTGCTTTGTACAAATTGTCACTCCTGCGCCATCCAAATTTGGAGTCAGAGGAGATCCTATACGTGGCAGGCAACAAGAACTTATCTCTTCTTGAAATTCACAACCGATCAAGTTTATGATAAGGTGTGTCTTCCCCTTCGACAACTATTGAATGGAAGGCATTGGTAGCTGGTCATTGCAAGCATCAGACATTAATAAATGAGTCTCACAATTACTTCTCCCTGGTTTTTTTTTCTTCTGGAATTTCAGCAGAGAAACATACAAGGAGTTGAACCGAAAGAGCTGAATTTACTATGATGTTCAGAGCTCAATATGTGAGAACATCCTAATTTTGTAAATAAAATATCGTGTTCATCAACCAACGATGAAGCAAATGTGCATATATAAAAATGACTTTACATGAGGTAGCTACACTCTGCAACTGATGAACAATGATGGGAAAAAAACGAGTCAATTCACGGTTAGGCAAATCAGGTAAAGGATAACGAATTGTCTTGAGGGGAAGATTGTTATGGAACAATTCAAGTACCACATCGGAAATACAAGGGAAGGAACCCTTGTATATAAGTGTCCACGTAGTCCAATTAGTACTAGGCATTTTGGGGAGGAGATCCAAGAAAAAATCCATGCGGGCTTGGCCCAAAGCGGACAATATCATACTAATTGTGCTGGCCGATTTTGATAAGTATTATCATGAACACATAAACTAACTAAACAAATATATAAAGAAATTCACTCCATCTAGGCTAGTTTCTTCACTTAATTAACCAATTCCGCCATTTATAATATGAAGGCTAAATTACAAGTTTGGTCATTCGAATTATACAAATCTTTCACGATTGCCACTCGAATTGCTTTTCTTTCTTATTTACCACTAACTTTACGAATCGTTTCACCGTTAGTCACCAGCCTTTACACTTCGTTAAATATGTCCTACGTGGCAGTCAACTATAAAGTTTGACAGTTAACTAGATAACGTGGAAATTACAAAAAAATAAAAAAAAATTATTTGTCCACCTCATCATTCCACTTACTTTGTGTATATGATTTATCATATTACTTATTTAATAAAATAAATTAAATAATATAAATAAATAATATGATTGATTTATTCTCCGCAATGGCAAGCTGAAGCAGGGGAGGAATCCAAATCCTACCAAGAAGAAGAAGCTCCTCCTCTTCGGAGTCTTCAAATCTTCCTCCGCCTCCAATTTCGTCTGCGACTGCGGCCTCTCCGACGTCCACGACCCTGCCACCTCCTCCACCTCGAGATTCACCGTCCCTCCCTCGCCCTCCTCCAGCATCAACATCCTCCCCTTCCTCCCCAAGCACCCCAGTTCCCCCACCATCGACATAGACGGTGAAGAACAAGATCTGCGGTGTGTTGATTACTCCTCTTCGACTACGAGCACCACAGCGACGGCGGCGACTTCTTCGTCTTCCTGCTCCACCACATCCTCGTCTTACGAGAGCTGCGCTGTTGCAGACCGGAGGAGATCGTCGGTAGCGATTGGGAGCAACATCGCGGCAGTGAAGGATTCAGGCGATCCGTACTGGGATTTTAGTGATTTGATGACGCAGATGGTGGTGGAGAAGGGGATTTACAGCCAGAGCGGGTTGGAAGAGCAGCTGAAGCAATTCCTGGAGCTTAATTCCCCCTGTTACCACGCCATCTTCGTTCGGGCCTTCACTTCGATCTGGAATGAAGTGGTGGTCGCCGCCGCCGGCGTCGGCAGGCAGCACGATATCATTTGGAGAGACATCAATCATATTATTTATTTTTATAATTTAATAATTTTATTAAATAAGTAATATGATAACTCATATACACAAAGTAAGTGGAATGATAAGGCGGACAAATAAATTAATTTTTTTAATTTTCACGTCATCTAGTTAATGGTCAAACTTTATAGGTGACTGTCATGTAGGACATATTTAACGGAGTGTAACGACCGATGACTAACGGTGAAACAATTCGTAAAGTTAGTGGTGAATAAGAAAGAAAAATAATTTGGATGACAAACATGAAAAATTTGTATAATTCGAGTGACCAAATGAGTAATTTAGGCATAATAATAATAATAATAATAATAATAATAATAATAATAATTCTCGTACTGTCATCATCCCATCAGATTATTCTTTTCTCCCTTGTTGGGAACGGATCAGGTCAGTAACCTTATGGTGAGTAACCTCTCCACATCAGCATGACATCAACATCCTTTTCTCTCCTGCAAAACCTTTAATTTTTCCCTCCTTAATCTTTGACGGACGATTTCTCACTCGTTTTAAGTCGAAATTTAATTTTTTTTGCACAGTTAGATCAGATTAATTGTGCTCTTCAAAATGATATCCATTTTTATATATTTTTTGAACAAAAAAAAATTGAGCCATTTTTTACCAGTCTATACCATATGGTATTGACTGGTATTGAAATAAGAGCATACCTATGGGTTCAAAAGCGTACCATGGTGGTATGAACATACCCAGACTGTATGATGGTTGAATACATGATAGTAGAAGTATATTAACTGTCATTTACGACTTTTAACATTATGTACCACAAGATACCACCCCGTACCAGGGTGGTATTGTGTGGTAGTTTTTGGTCATGTAATTTGTTCACCCATAAATTTGTAGATCCAATAGATCATGATGAACTCGTCACTTCTGTGCAATCGTTTATAAAAACGAATTAAAAACGAAGAAAATACCATTTAATATGTAGTTGGTACCGAGAGGTCAGAATTTTTTTTTCTCCAAAAATATTGAAAATTGATCTCATTTTGTAGAGCACGATGAACTCGTTCCATCTGTGCAAAAAAAATTAAAATCCAAATTAAAACGAAAAAGATATGAGTCGATTAAGAAAGCTAGGGAAAATAAAAATGGTCTTTAATTCTCCATCCTTAGATCTTGATTTTCTAAATGAAGGGTTCAGATTTGGTTATTGATAGGTGCATAACCCATGGTTATGCACCCTATCTTGAGCCTAAATTGAGTAGCCAAAAAAACAAGGGTAAATACAATTTAATATCCAAATCTTTCATTTTAAACAATATAATAGCCAAACCTTTTCGAAAACAATCTAATATCCAAAACGTCAACTTTCTGTCCGTTTGACCGTTAGATGACACTTCAAAAAAGATCGAAGTACGACACTTCATCAATATCCATCGATATCTTCTCTGAAAAACCACCAACATATCATGGTTCCAAACCCGAGAAGTCCATGACTCCACCATGATGGTATAAAATATCTAAATATTCAGTCATCTGCAATGCCAAAACAAGAAAACAAAGTTGTATTGTGACAATTTCCCCTAAACAAAGCTTTTTTGAAGTATCAACTAACGGTCAAAAGGACGAAAAGTTGACGATTTGGATATTAGATTGTTTTCGAAAAGGTTTGGCTATTATATTGTTTAAAATGAAAGGTTTGGATATTAAATTGTATTTTAAAAAACAATATATAACTATTAATATCCTCCACCAATTGGTAATATCCTCCACCAATTGTTATTACCAGGATTGTTGAAAGAAATCTCAGGAGTTTTCTGGACAGAACTTACTATGCATACAATTATGATGTGAAGCTTCCAGTTCCACCCAGCTAATGTTTCCTCCTCGAACGATCCATTACTGTCTGTCTTGTGGTGAAAGATAAGTGTCCTTCCTTCGTGGTCGGGGTGGCGACACAACCAACACCATGCCCCCAAAAAAAACAAGGTGTTTTTGCTTTCCCCCGCGTGACACTGTTTCTTCTTTGGCCCTCTTTTGCTCCAAATGGCACGTTTGGTTCTTGGAGCTACACACTGTAATGCTGATGCATCATTCGTTTTCCAAGGCCACAAGAAAAAGAAAAGGCAAGAGAGAAAGACAAGCAGTGAAGAGGTAAGCAAAAGCAAAAGACGAATGTGGTAATAGTGTTCTTCTTCTCTATACATGTGGACACGTTCCACCTACTGCCAAAACGAAATTAAAGTGTTGTTTGCTCTCAAGAGGGTGACAACTACTCCTCTAACCGCAAAGCTTCACTGCCTAAAGAAACCAAGGGGGCCTGTATCTGACCCCAAAAATTCGAATCGCGTTGTCTAGAATGCTCTCGCCCAAGTTGTGAGCTATGGCTTAAACAAGCAAGAAAATCAGCAACTGACCTGTCAATCCAATGGCAGGAGCTTCCGAGCTTGCGCCAGTAGAATGCAATTCGGGTGGCTTGCTGAATTGAGGTAGCTGAATGGCTATACTGGAATCAGTTCCCCCCGAACGACCTCGCCGGCTGCTGAACTGCACAGTTAATGTATATCCGAGCCATCCGGTTTGGGCAGGTCCAGCCGTCGTCATCAACCAGTTGGTGCATAAAACCATTGAGTAGAATCAATCACCCTAATAAAAAAACAAGTATATTTATTATTTAGTTATTAATTATTGTTAAAATAAATTGTGAAAATTATACCAAATATACGAATTGAAAATAAAATTCCATCCACACAACAATATGATAATTACAAGTCTCTGACCATACCCAACAACATGCATGTGAACTGAAGCACATCAATTTCATGGATCGATACTTGCCATCAATCCAAATCGTAAAATCTTCATAATTCAAATACAAAGAAATATTAATTAATGACATACTCATGCACCCATTCTAAGACTTGTCCACTTCAAACCAAAATTAGATGGATTCATCCATACTAAGGAGAATCGTCCGACTTTTCATAACAAAGAGTTTGATTAAGTATCTTCGAGAATCATTTTCGCCAATAATAATTATCCCTAATCACAAAAAGGTAATTAGACATAAAGGGGATCCAGTTCAATCAATAAACATGTTGCATGAGATGCAATTCTCTGTCTTCACTTGCTTATCGTGTATGGACACCTATATATGCTTTGATTTGGTTTCGGACAGCACCAAACGTGCAATCATGTATGTAGTAATATACCCGCTCTATGTCCACATACCGTATTCTAACGTACCCATACTGTATTCAAACTTTGGAATCGAGATCAGAGATAAAGATAATTTGGTAACTGGTGAGCCAAGAAAAAACAGAGCAGGGTTTATCTTGTGTTACCGATTGAGTTGCAGGGATTGGAATGACGGAACAGGAACAAAGAGCGTGGATCTGTTCCCCACCCATTTTCAATCTCCGCCTTCCCTTACTTAGCTTTCTAAGTTTGCCTTCCATCTTGCTGGCAAATGGCATCATGGCTTGGCTTAGCTTTATGCTGTGTGGGGACGGCGTTACCTCCCACATATCTTCCCTTGCTGTGCTGAGCAATCTTTGTGATCGTTCACCTGTCAAAGAGACGATCTTCAGCTATCAGAGATACCAAACAAAGGAAACCAAACAAAAAGAATAGAAAGAACCATAGGAAGCCGAAAAGGGTGACAATTGATTGAACTCTAACGGGAACCACATGAATGAAACTTTTCCTATGTTATGATTTTGACCATTTTCTGAATTAACAAAAAAGCTACATGTGCTTACTGATGTTTGGCACCAACTCTTAATCAGCTCGTCATTTCGATTGCCTCGTTACAATGGTACTCTTATCTACTGTAGCCTACGAATCAGAACCCGATCAGCTAAACGCATTTATCGTTCATAATGTATGAAAAGAGAAGGCCAAGAAATACCCCAAAAATGAAAGTAATATATCAAGAAGCCAACTGTATTTGATCATGAGCAGTCAACAAAGACAACAACTGATAGCAGAGTTTCAGGTATCCTTCAAACTTCTGATTTTGAACGAGTTCAGAATACAACAAACAACAAACAACGACATCATAGTGCCACTTTCCCTCTTATGCTGCAAGTAAAATAACAAACAACAAAGAAAGATCAAAGCTTGGCAAAGACAGGGTTCCTTTTCTGCAACTGTGCAGAGACGGCCTCTGTTAAATCATCAGACATAAGCATTGCAGAGTTCCAAGTTGCTACATAATCCAATCCTTGTTCTACATTCATATCCCTGCTCTTCAAAAGCACCGATTTTGTTCCAATCACAGCAAGAGGCGATTTCGCAGCAATCCCTGCTCAACAATTTCATTCAGTAATAAGCAAACCAAGCTAAAACAATAAGCAATGAAAAGATCAATGTGGGTATAATTGTGTTTTCATCTACCTTCTGCGACAGTTCTGACACCTTGATCCAATTCCTCCTTGGAACCAAAAACCCGGGAAACCAAACCCAACTCCTTGGCCTCCTGACTCGAGAATCTGCGACCCGTTAAGCTCAATTCCATCGCGTTCCCAAACCCTACAATCGCAGGAAGCCTCTGAAGCGTCCCCAGATCAGCAGTAATCGCCAAATCCACCTCCTTGACGGAAAAGAACGCGTCCTCCGTGCAATACCTTATATCACAGGCGGTCACGATATCGATTGCTCCGCCGATGCAGGCGCCATGGATCGCGGCGATAACGGGCTTTCTGCACCGCTCGATCGCGGTAATGGCATCCTGCAGGAACTTGATGTCACGGCGGAGCCACTCACTGGCACGTCCCGGGCGGAGGGATCCGGACTGGCTTTGTATGGAGGCGAAGATTTTTAGGTCAATTCCGGAGCAGAAATGGTCGCCAGCGCCGGAGAGGACGATTACACTGACGCTAGGGTTTTGGTCGAGGGACGAGAGGGCTTTCGGGAATTCTGAGAAGAATTCGAGAGAAAGAGCGTTGCGCTGCCGCGGGCGGTTGAGACAGAGATGTACGACCGGAGAACCTGGGGGATTCTGCTTGATTGCTAGGGTTTCGTACTGCTCCGCCTCCATCTTCGCCGGCTGAGCTTCGGTCGACAGAGTGACTGCGAGAATCAGGTAAAAACAGGAAAGAGACGACGGACAAAATGAAAAATTGCGAAATTGCGAAAGTAATTTTACTATTAAATTCAGAAAATTTGGAATTTCGCGGGAATTGATAAAAAAAGGTCCTACCGGGAGTCGAACCCAGGTCGCTGGATTCAAAGTCCAGAGTGCTAACCACTACACCATAGAACCGATGCTTTTGATCAAGATTCGTCTTTTACGATCTCATTTGTTGAGCAGGGAAACAATACGCACTTGCTGCAAAGAAAAAATTGACATAACTTGTAACGATTTTGTGACATTAGAGATGCAAGTTTTAGGATGAGTTACTAAGTTTGAATCCACCGATCCTTATCTATATTATATCTCACCGATATACAATTGATTTTATAAATTAGAAACAAAATCATTTCGATTGGTTACAGTAGAATTGGGGTTCAGTTAAATCTTTCGAAAAAATTAAGAAAGTAGAATGTTTAACTGAATATGATGTCTTTCCGCTTCCACTCCTTTCACCTCGAGTCTGTTTATCATTTCGATATGATATTTAGCAAACGATTATCTTTCTCCATATTCAATGAAGATATAATAGATTTGTTTTCATCCACTCATATCACCAAAGGTTTCATGAGATTTGGAATAATTAGAGTACCAATATAAATTTTATAGCTAAATAAATCTCACATTGTACCGTACCATACCGTGTTGTACCGTATCGTACCATACGTAAATAACTCTAGATTGTATTTTCTTCCCTTCCGGTTAACCTCCAAACCAAACACTTACTATTACCGGAATTGAGCATTATCTCGAAACAACGCTAAAATTCAAAGCACCCAATCATAAGTGAGTGTATGTGAAATGAATTCCCCATATCAGTTCAGGCAGTGTTGTACACGAAAGTTGAACAAAATCAGGATATGATTGCAACCAATTAATTCTTATATAACGCTGGATCTATAGCTAGCTATATTCCACCTGAACAAAAAAAAAAAAACAAGTCCTTTAATTTGGAAATTTGTATATAGTTAGCTTAGCTAGGCAATTTTCCCCCCTTACACAACGTGTCCGTGTTGAATTAGAACAAGTCTCAAAATTGCACAGTTATGATGTGTTGGGAAAGCAATTTGAAGATTTGGTAGCCCCCTTTTTTTCTGCAGCTTGTGGCACAAAATTTGGGGAAGTGGAGTAGATACAAAAGAACTTTCCAGTATTTATTGCCCTTTTTTGAGGATGGCCCTCTTTGACTGCTTGCGGCAGCAAGCAATAATCCATCGTTGAATCGGGAAATAATAACAGGGGAATCCTGGGAAGTTAGTGTTCTGCATGCCCTTCTTTTGCTCCCACAAAGAAATTAATCAACCTAATGAAAAAACAATTAGTATCCAGCTGGGCATAGCTAGGGCTTCATCGATCACTTGGCCTAAGATTTGAACTTGATGATGACAGAGAGTTTGTAAAATTCGAGCCCAGTATTTTGTTTCGAGTGAATGATCGTATTTCTTAAAATCTAGATATAGAATATTTGGGTTAGAAAGTGCTATAGTTTGTCTGGTACATATATATTTGGCATTTGATTACATATCATTTCGATTCCTATGGTATTACATATCATATATTCACAATGATTTATTTGAATTTGAGGAAATGGGAGCTCTTCGGACACAAGGATTTATCATAAATATATCTTCATTGATATGCTAGACATACGCAGATTTTCCTTGATCAACAAGACTGCCAAACTGTCGTCCGTCGGCCCGGATACAAAATTCAAACTATGCTTTGATATACCACTTGCCGAAACTAAACCGCTTTCTTAGTTTGATATTGTCCGCTTTGAGCCAAGCCGACATGTATTTACTCGTGGGTATCCTCCCCAAAAAGTCTCGTACTAATGAATTTGGTGGACACTAATATACAAGACTTCCTTCCCCTTATATTTCCGATGTGGTACTTGAATTGTACCCATAACAGCTATACATGTAGGATACAACATATATAATTATAAATTTGCAAGAATTGGATGGGAACTATGCAATCAATATAGTTAAGGATTGAACAAGTGGGAAACCTAACTAGTTTTGTACTCCTTAAGTATATCCAAGTGTAGATGCTAAACTTAATGAATTAAGGTCAGTACTCAGTACCCCAAATGAAGGAAAATAAAAAGGTGGTCGCCCACGACTCCATCGTTGTCTAACAAAATGTGGGTTCGATATCGCTGTAATTGAGCCCCACGGGAACAAAGAACCTTATCACCTCACCATGCCAATAATGGGATCAAAGAGAGGTGAATTGGTTCCTGCCTATAGCTCCATCACAAACCATGTACACGTCTCCACAATATAATTATAAGCCCTTTAATTCCCTATTCAGTTAGCTAGAAAGAATGAAATGCACAGAATGATGAGAAGGCCATTAATGAGTTAATGGTGGCTATTAGCTTGCCAAGCCAATATTGCCTCTGGATTGAGGAGTATATACGTCAAAGTATTATCATTATTGAATACTATGTATCCAATAACTATGTTGCGTTATCAAATTCGAACACGCAGATTTTTTTGTTTTGTCATTCTATATATCTTGGTTGTCGCTGTCACAGATCAGTTCATTCTAGTTATTTGAGTTACATTTTATATGCTTTGGCTATGGTTTGTCTTTTTTTTTTTTCTTAAATGAATTGAAGCACGGGGTTGTCCTTAATTTGATTTAGGATTGAATTGAATGTGATTTTATAAAAATTTAGGACAACCACTTCGATTCAGACTCGATCATTTCAGTGTGGTTATCGTTTTATACGGAATCCAACTTCAACCAAACTAAAACAACAACAACAAACAGTTTCTTGACTTTTAACAGTGCATCATCGTTTTAAGAGAGTGCAGTTGTTATCCGTTACTAAAAAAACCGTACAGAAGTTTGCAACTAGCTAGTAACACTCACGATCTGTTTAAAACTGGTCATCAGTTGTATAATGAAAGATGAGCAAACCCTACATTCTGATGATGAGGGTCTTGCTTTCCTGCAAATCTAACCAAAGTTCTCATACTCAGAGACATTTTATTTAGTCCATATCGAATCGATTGTGCAGCCTTGCAATGTTGGTGAGTAGTATAAGTTCCATTATTGAACCTCTCTCAACAATTCGAGTTATTGCGATCAACTGATTCTTGACACAGCCTTACGATGTTGGTAAGTAGTATAAGTTCCATTATTGAACCTCCCAACAACTCGATTTATTGTTGGTTCTTGACTGCTCTTGTAACATATATACCAGATTACTAGTCATATATCGACCATATAGATCTGCGGGGCAAGAGTTCATGTGAAGGATAAGAACTAGATGTACGTAAGTCGACAGATGAACAGAGGTAAGACTGTGTGGGGTAAAGAAACTGAGACAAATGTCAGAATCAAATTCGAAGTTGGTTCTCTGCCATACAACATTTTCGATCGCTAGGGTTTGGCCATTCTTTCTTCCGGCAGGGGTCAATTTGCTTCACCTGCGAAAGCTACGTCTCCTTTTTGTTTTCTTCTCCCCTTCGCCCCCGCTATGCATTAATTAATCGATTTCAATAATTCAATAATCATTGAGATCGACGATCCTGTGCATGCAAAATGAAATACGTCGTCATAGGATTGATTTAATTCCGGCAAAGGACGACACTTAATTAGTTTAGTACTCCATCGACAAATGTACATCACACAATCGATGACCAAAATCAAATCGCATCGGACCTTAATCATCATTGTCATATGTATTGCAGAGGTGTGTACAAGACACCTAGGAAGGAAGAAAAGATGGAACAAGAAAGACCAAACTCAAAAACAGCAAGTGAAGTATATATTTTCATCAACAAGGTTGCAAGTTTGTAACTCAAGTGGCCAAAGGTATTAGCTCACATAAAATTTCCCGTTCATGTTCGTGTTTGAGTATTGCGATTTTCATCGAGTTCCAAATACTGCTATAAGGAAATGATTCCTTTTCTAACAAAAAATAAATTTTTGTCAAAAGTCACAAAAATAGTTGCAAATAATGGTTTGATCTAGTAATAATATCATTTTTTTTATATCACTCTTATAAAAAAAATTAAAAAATAAAGTAACAAAATCACCGTATATTTGTCTATTTACAGTGTGTGTATAATATCATCGGCACACTATAATCTTCTGTTTGTTTCACGATACTCTAAGCTTTCAACTAGTTTGATGATTATCAGACAATGATGCGTACATATTTAACTTCTAACACCGCTGATAATAATAATAATAATAATAATAATAATAATAATTAATCCAAATAAGAAAATCTAATAAATATATACACATCAGACTACATATGTAAAAAAAACTATTACCTCTGAATAATAATTTGAGTTACGAGAAGAGATAAAAAAAAAAATAGAATCTTGTGTTGTTCTCTTACAAACCCCTACAAACGAAAGTTGAGTTTTGACATACCAAGTGTTTAATAGGATCAGAACACAGAAAATTTTCTATAAAAATTCGAAGATTATATTTTAAGAATCAATATCTCTGAGTAACTCGAAGTATTGAGATGCCGCAATATTATTGCGATATGCTTGAGAGTGGAAAGAGATGATTAGTAGTATGAGTCACCATAGACGCATCAATCGATCAGAGGATGGTACTGCAGCTAGCCCCCCGTAGAGTCATTAATAGGCCAAAAGGGAACCGGACGATAAGTGGTTCGCCCAACATTACAAGATTAGATTCAGGTGATGGCAAGCAACAAAATAAAAATAAAAAAATCTAGCTCTAGCTCTAGGAGCAATATAGAATTTTTGTGAACAAAATTGAACGATGGGAATCGAGGATTTTCTGGAGAGAGAGAGAGGGAGAGAGATGATGGAATTGATGGAGCAGTGCATGAATGTGGTTGTGGGTCTGTTTTGCATCATATCATTGGCCTGATTCCTGAAGGGGTAAGTTAACAAAGTGGGATCTAACCCACGAAATCTTTGGTTGGTAGTACTTAGTAAAGTGATAATTTCGTGTCATTATGCTACCGTCATAGTTCTTAATTCCTGTCATTTCGAATAGTGTACGTACTCTGATAATACATGTAGATCAAATTAAAATGAGTAAGACATTATGGGGTTCGAGTCATGTTACGTCGTTGCATTAATTGGGTTAGTGAGGCAGTTAAGAAAATGTCACATCTAGTTATCAGAGAAATCAAATCGAACCCGGTTAAGAATAACGTTTCAAATAGTAATATATATCGGGAAATTGTTATTTAACTAACTTTCAACTGTAAAATGGTTTTCAATTACTACCAGATTAAATTTACGTAAGCAATAATTATGCCGACAAAAAAATTAAATAGTGTTTGTCATTTCAAATCAGGTACTAAATAATGTCAATTTGGTACATGTATACATCAAGTCAAAACAATTATGTGTCACTCTGAGTGGAGTCATGTTAAGTTGTTGGCATTCGTAACATCGTTGGGTACATCATGTTAGAGAAGCCAATACCAAGATGTCACCTCCAAGTATCAGAGAAATTGAACCAAACCCGTCTAGAATCACACTTTTTTAACTAGCGATTTATATATGTGAGAGGTTTTATTAGGATATGTTTCGATGAAGTAAAGTGGTCTATAATTAGTACCATGCATACACACATGAGCATTAATAATTAATTCAACAAAAGAAAATCATCAATTACAATGATCCACCCAATTGTCAAGTTTCATAAATTCAGGAACATATACATATATACTCCTTTTTAATGCACGATATTGACGATGCTAATTGGAGAAAGGAAAACTAAATTCCAGTCCAATAATACCAGAACATGGTTCAATGTTGGAAATTGCAAAGCATCGCTGAAAGTAGGGCTTCGGAATTCGGATCCTCTTCGGTTTGGTAAATACGAAAGTAGGTTTTCCGCAAGACCAAAAAAACAAGGATTATAGTTACCAAATTAATTATTTAATTATGATGAGCTTTTTTTTCTAGAAAACATCGATGGAAATTGGAAAACCATTAAAACGAAGGATAATATAGAACCTGTCGTCGAATGAAAATGATCACGAATCACTAGGCTAATCATCACTAATATTCGATCATTATTAAAATCAAGTTAAGTCAAAGTCGAAGAATTAAATTTGTGACAAATCCTACACCATCGTGACTAGGATAGTAATATATTAATATGTAACGACAGTAGAAAGAATTGAATCAATTGATGGATGTACCTTTGGGTAAAACGGGTATTTTCATTATTTTTTTAATGTTCATGTTATTAATTTTATGATTATTGTTTATAATTTTTTTTTTGGTTATTTTTCATACTCATCGGTGTACTGGGGAGGACTCAGTCAGGTTTAAGGTTGTGTAGGGACATCCACATCCCTAAAATTGGCACCGATGTCTCTATAATAATTTTAGTTTGAAAAAAAAGGTGACAGTCTAAGTAATCAAAAAATGTAACACTGCTATTATTAATGTACATATTCTCCATTAGAATACAACTCTTTCTTTTATAGTATTAACATCTCTTGGTGGTAACACAATAACTTTTACAATTGAAAAAATTGGGCGAATTTTAAATGTGATTATTATTGCGTATATATAATTTTAAATAGTTTTAACATTGATATAAACTGTTTCTCCACAAAATTCTTCCGGCCGACGGCCTGACCCTGTGCTAGTTTTTTTTTTGTCAAAAAATATCATATATTGATCCAAACAAATAGATAATTACATCCTGGAAAGCAGCCATACCCGAAAATCAAAGAAGCGACCTACAGTACGGTCGGATACAAAGAGAGCGCTCTTCTAGCTACCGAGTGAGCTACCCTATTGTTCTCTCGACCTACAAATCGCGACCTTGTGCTAGTTTTACTAAAGGGGAGAACAATTTTTTTTAAAAAAAATTGGACTATTTGAAAATTAGATACAATGCATGTAGATGAGTTCCCTGCATAGCTAGGTAAAACTGTTAAAACGGAAATTGAGATCATTTATTTGCCGCTGAATTTGTAATTTTCTTATCACCATATAGTATAAAATAAAATAATGAAGAGGGACGTAAGGTAAAATGTAATTATGTGTGTCGTTTTGCTCTTTTTAGGTGTATGGACAAAAGAAATAGTAGAAAGAAAGAAAGGACCTTTTTCTCGCTTTGATTTTCTTTTCTCCAAGAAACAAGGGCGATGTTGCCACGACGACACGGCACGCATCATCATCTCCACAAATGGCTGCGCCCGACAGAGAGAGCTCCCGGCCACAAAATCATACATGAGCGACGATGTTCACTTCAAAAACTAAAAACACTGGAAAAAACGTGATCTCTCAATGAACATAATGAATCATTAGGAATTCGAAGTAGAGGTGGCAATTAGAAAAATTATATGGTACGGATTATTTTTAATTGAATTTTTTTTTATTGTTGGTGTTTTGCTTTATTCTGGCCAATGTTTAAAAATCATTAAAGATGATTTAATTAATTTAGCATTGCTGCCTTGCTGGTACAAACAGACTAAATGAAGAAATTAAATTCTTTGATCTCTTTAGAAAGCTGAAAATGGCAAAAAGTGAAACAACAAATTTATAATCACAACAATGTGGCATCAACTATATCTGATCTCTTATTCTCTTTAGAAAATACATGATAAATATGAACTATGTTATATGGGTTCAAAAGAAATCTAATAAGAAAACAAGTCATCCTCTCATGCGGTCCATTGATTTCTTTAGAATTTTGATTTATGTTTTTTTTAATATTATTAATATTTTATACCATAATAAAAATTCATTGGATTAAATTCTATCATTTTAAATTCCCAATCAAAATAAATACTCTATCATAATAATTAGACATACATATGATGGAGGTCGGAGGCTCCCGAAATTTGGTGGTTCTGTGCGGAAGAGCATCTTGGCCCTATGGCTCCCCTAGATATGATAGTTGATAAGGAAGGAAAAAAAAAGAATTTGGAGAAGAACTACATGAAGCAGATCGATGTGAATTAGAACAGAAACTAAGATCTGAGATAGAAAACATAACAAAACTGAAAAGAGGATAATTTTCCATCCAGAAATTCCAGGTTCGGATTTCTTAAATAGATCTGATAATAAAACTTCACTATTATTAAAAGAAAGATAAAAAAAAATGAAGGGAGTAATTGAGGGTGGAGGGGTCAGTCACGTGAGTAAGAGCGTGGAGGAGGGAAAGGGCAAAGAGTAGTGCTGCTAGTTTTGCTACTTTGGCTGGCCTTTGGTAACGTATAAAAATGAAATGATTTACAACACAACAAATTCCCTTCTTTCCTTCCACCCTACCGCTTCCATATTCCAGTTGTAACAGAAAAAAGAAAGAAGAAAGAACGGCTGCCTGCTGAGTGCTGATGATGATGAGAAAAGACACACATAGCTAGAGAGCTAGTCACGATTCTCACATTTCTATTACTTATTGACTTACCTTCATCATCAACATGCATTTCTTAACTCAACTCTTAACTCATCATCATGAATTTAAATTAAGTTACAATTGACTGGGGGGAAACAATCGATTCCAGCTTGATTCAGAGTCCAGCGAAATTAGACAACAAAAACAAGAGGAAACTAATGTGTTGAATAGCTGAATGTTCTGTACGTGCCACTCAAGTTACCAGGAAGAAATGTGGAAAAGACAAAATCTGAACCGCATGTAAATGATTCAATTTTCACTTACATTAACCGCTTGATCGATAAGATAAAATAAATACATCGCCTCTTTTTTATTAGCAGAATAAACACTTCTTTATTTATTTATTTATTTATGAAAAAGCCTGTGTAAAATCGAGAGTGTCCTATCAATTTTTTTTTTAATTCTATTCATATTATCGAAAGTAATTATACCAATATACGGACTTGAAAGTGTGACGGAGTGTTATCTCTCTCTCTTACAATTAACCTGACTAGCTAGATCATAGTAGACAGAATGCAACTGATGCCTTGTAAATTTGGGTTGTCCTGCCATTTACTTTTTAACCCAAAAATAGTTAATTTCCCACGGCTGTAAGAAAAATATCAGGTGCTAGGAGAGGAAGAGTAGCGAGTGAGTAAGTATATGGAATGGTACTGTTGTGATTGTGATGGTTTTGTCTTCCCTTTTCCAATATCAAATAAATAAATAATAATATTATTCCAGTTTGTCCACGAAATTTGTGATACGCCACCTACTTAATTATAATGCCATCCATTGTCATGCAACCCAACAGCCACATCCCCATAATAATAATAAATAATAATAATAAAATCAAAATTAAAAAGCATTTCTTTTTACATCACCACTTTTTAATTTCGATTATTTTTACCGTGGCGGCCCGCTCGATCCCCGCTATATATATCCTTCGATTCCTCCCCTTTCATCCTCATTCATTTGGTTGTAAGAGCTGAATTCCCCCCCAAATCAAAGAGCTCCCCGGCCACCTGAAACACCCCCTCTGCCGTCCGTCCATCTTTGCCTCTTCTGTGTTCTCTTGCTGCCGCCGTTCCGGCCGCCGGAGACTCAGATTGCAGGAAAAGACCGACCGGCAGCAGAGAAATTTCCCATCCTAATTGTACACCATGCAGCACACCGGAGCCTTCGTTTTTGGCATTCTAGGTACTCTCTCTCTCTTCTCCTAACTAACTTCATACCCACCCACTCTTTCTCTGTACAAAAACGTTTTTAACCATTTATGTATATTGATTATGGATTAATTACCACCCCAACTACTCCCTAATCTCATACTCTGATTAATTAACCATGAGTAGAAGTACTGATCATGTTGTTGATCCATGGTTTATGATTTTTTGCAGGTAACATCATATCATTTATGGTCTTCCTGGCTCCTGTGTAAGTATCAAAATCATCCCGCCCACTGCCACCTCACAAAAAATAATATTTAATAAATAAATAAAAAGAGAGAGAGAAAGATACCGTATTTTGTTTGATGTCAATTAACTGTTTTGGTTAATTGCCATATTTAAGAATTTTGGGACACGTTACAGGCCGACGTTCTGGCAGATCCATAAGAAGAAGACGAGCGAAGGCTACAAATCGCTGCCTTATCTGACCGCACTCTTCAGCTCCATGCTCTGGCTCTACTACGCCCTCCTCAAGAAGCAAGACGCTCTCCTCCTCATGACCATCAACGCATTCGGCTGCGTCATCGAGACCGTCTACACCGCGCTCTTCATCGCCTACGCACCCAAGAAAACTCGGGTACGTAGTAAAAAAACAAAAATAAATTCAAACATCCAACCACATTCTAAATTCGAAACGTTTGTACATACATACAAACAAAAAAAAAAGATGCTGACGTGTGGTGGGGCATTATTTCGTCTCGTCTTCAGGTGGCGACGATTATGTTGTTTGTGGGGTTGAACGTGGCGTTGTTCTCCACGGTGCTTCTGGTCATACAGTTCGCGGTCAAGGAGGATTACCGGGTGAACGTCCTCGGCTGGATTTGCGTCGGCTTTGCCGTCGGCGTCTTCGCCGCGCCTTTGAGCGTCATGGCCACGGTGATCAAGACGCGAAGTGTGGAGTTCATGCCCTTCTCTCTTTCCTTCTTCCTCACGTTGAGCGCCGTCGTGTGGTTTGGCTACGGAGTTTTCATCCACGACCTTCGTGTCGCGGTAAGATAAGAAACCCCCACGTGTCCAAAATGGGAATGGGCCCGAAACATATCACTTTTGGGCTTCTGATATTAACCGGGCTTTTTTTTCGGTGTCTGCAGTGTCCGAACGTGATAGGCTTCGTGTTTGGGCTGGCCCAAATGACGCTCTACGCGGTTTACAGAAACGCCCACATCGCCGACGAGAAGAAGGAGAACGAAAAGAAGCTTCAGCTACAGGACAGTAAGTTGCCCGTGAAGATGAAGAGCATTCACCGGAGGAGCGGCCTGGGTACGCCGGAGGTTCACCCGGTCGACGGACAGAGCAACGACGACGAGGAAAGGGACGACGGAGACGAAGGTCGCGGCAAGGGTAACGGTAACGGCGGTGGGGGAATTAGGAGGGACCAAGATGACTCTCCAGTTTGAAAGTTGCCAAGTCAAGAAACGAAAGAAGCTTCATCATCAATTGTATCCTAAGATTAAAAAAAAAAGCAACAATATTACTTACTCTTTGTACCTCTTAATTTTTTTCTTCGTTTTTTCCTTCTTTTATTTTCGATCGGGGTTATAATTCTAAACAAGAAGCTAATGATCATCAGTTGTACGTACTTTTGTTCCTTTTTTTTTTCTTGCTTATGGTAATTTTGTACTTTGTTTTCTTTTAAATGTAAGATGGGGGAACAATTTAGTATATATATAATCTTTGCAGATCTTTGGATACATTGATTAGTTCACTTTTTCGTTCCCGTAATTCACAATAAGTCGATGCTTTGTTGGTTTGTTTCGTTCATCTATCCGTCTAAGTTACAAATAAAATCGAGTTCCGCTCCAAGTATGGGATCTCTTGTGTGTAAATATTGTGAAAGTCTTATATATGTTCAATTAAGTCATGGACATTTACTTTGTTGTGTATGATATTTAATGATGTGAAAAAATTGTTACTCATTTGAAACCAAACCTTTTATATTTCATAAATTTCTCGTCTGTTTATACTAGTTTTGTATCAATAAACACTATTTTCGTTGGCCTTACTTCTTGCCCTGCTGTCATACAAGACAAGTTCCAATAGCTAGCTAGCTTTAAATACTAAGAACTTCGTGTCCATCCATAAGTAACCAAAAAAGTAGCTAATACTCTCTCACATCATTTGGATGGGGATGTGGACTAGGATTTTACCATAATTCCTCATCTTCCTAGATTTTATTCCAATTTTATTTGGTCAGACTTCAAAAGATGGTGGATTTGATCATGCGGAATTTCGAAAATTCTGAAATTGAAGGATTTCAAAATAGCTAACCCTCAGGAAATTTGAAATATTTTTTTTCCAACTCTAACTCTTCTACTCAACATCTTCCTCTCCTTCCAAGTTCCAAACCCCAATCTGAAGAAGACGGACAATAAAGGACAACATGACTTTGACCATTTTTGGGTTAAATCCCTTATATGTAAACAAACATGTTTAACTCAATTTCTTTATATAAGATAAATAGTTTTTTAAGTGAACAATTTGAGGCTCTCAAAAACAAAACTCCCATTCAAACGCCTTCCCTTCACAACGTGAACCTGTTAGTTAAAATTTTCCAATAAAAACTTTCACAAGCTCAAGAAAGAAACGAGCTTAGTCGCCTCTCTTTTATTAAATGAACCATTCAGAATGAGCTATATTGTTGATTCTACAACAGACACTGAATACACTTCTTCCGCAGAAGAAGAGTTTTGGATTTGAGACTTGGGTAATCCCACCATAATCAATGAAGATTGGTACAAACATATTTGTAGAGAAATGTCCATTTTCATCTATTTCCATTTCAAGTTAAAGACATGAGAATAAGTTTATCAGCAGAAGAAAAAGAAACAATTATGACAAAGGAATAGAAAGAGAGGTAGTACAACAATGAACCCAGTTCTTGTCTATGTTTAAAAATGTTGTAAAAATACTTGTCTTTCTATGTTTCTCTCCTCTTCCCATTCCCATCTCTATTTCTCTCTCACACTCTCTCTCACTCTCCCCTTGTCCATTTCTCACTCCTAAACTGATAACAATGTACGAATTCCCTCCTGCAGTTAGCTATTCACAGTCTCCATACTCCGAAAGAAAATAGGAAAGAAACCAAAACAAAACAGAATAACTAACACAATAGGAAATCCGGGTTGATACACGCAGATTCAACCTCGTAGCCAGCCATTGCTTCCACCTCCTTCTGAGCTCCCCTGAGGACTCTGCCGCTCTTTTCTCGCCAATTCTCCCCCTACATCTTTGCTTCAGCCACAGACCTTTCTCTCTCCAAATCCCGGGTTTTTGCCACCTCGATAGTAGGGTCTCTAGGCGAATCATCCTTATCAAACCCATCGAGGTCCCACCTGCTTCCAGATCCACCACCTCCATCCTCGACCCTCGAGAGAAACCCACCTCGCTCGTCTCGCGAACCCTTCTGACTAACACCACTACCATTTGCATTTGGTTCGTACGTTGAGTTAGCCAGGTAGGACAATATCGTGACCACATCACCAATTAAAGGTCGAGTTGCGGCCTGTTCTTGAATGCACATCAATGCCACGGCTAGAGCTTGGTAGAGCCCCCTCACCGGGTATCGCCCTTGTAGCCTCGGATCAACCAGCTTTGAGAACTTCTGCGGTCATTGAACAATGGACGTGCCTAAAGAAAATAGACATAATCAGCCACATAGGAAACATACCGAGAACCCAAAACCTGCGAAGGAGTCACTAATTGAAAGTTTGTAACTGTTGACTCATGGAGCACAAACCGAATGAAGGACGCCCTAACTTGTGTTTATTACAGAATGTAGTTCAGAGTCCCAACAACATCATAGTTAATTGAGTCTCTAAGACCTGGATCCTTACAATCAAAGTATTGAATACCAAACGGAAGGGAATACCCTCTATTGGCAAGGAAATCTAATTGGTTAACTGATCAATCGAATTCAACAACTGGTCTAAAGTGGGTTTTCATTGTGCCATAATAACTTAATATTTGAACAGACAGTTGAGCCACCCTTACAACATGATCAACATGAGATAGATGGAAACTTTTGACTTACTCATGTGATGAGGTTTTGCTCTCCGTGAGGCCTGCTGCTATCAACGGATTTACGTACAGTGATAAGCTCAAGGAAGACTACTTCAAAGCTGTACACATCGGATTTGATAGTCAGTTGACCAGTCATGGCATACTCAGGAGCACAGTAACCGTACGTGCCCATCACTCGGGTGGAGACGTGTGACTTGTCACCAATGGGGCCCAACTTTGCTACCCCGAAATCGGATAGCTTAGGATGGAATCCTTCATGTAGAAGGATGTTCGACGACTTGAAGTCACGGTAATTCACCGGAGGGGCTGCTTGTCGTGGAGATACTCCAACCCTTTGGCTGCTCCTGTTGTTATCTTCATTCCAGTGTTCCAATCTAAAGGTTCCTTCTCAGGTGGAAGATCTGCACATGGAGAGAAATTAAAAATAGCACAGACAACCTGAGAACACAAATCTTTACTATCAAACTGAATTAGTTAAAGAAGACACTCAAGAATCGAAACTTTGCTTTCACTTTGTAAGAGTTTCTGTTTCTTCACTAGCTTTTGGTCCATGCAATATCCCCATTCCTCACAACTTTTGGTACTAATTGAGTTGTGACTGCATAAAATAGATACCCAATTCTCAAAGATTGCAACTTTAAATAGAAGCGCTTAGTTACCATGAAGATGATCTTCAAGCGAACCGAAGGGCATGAACTCATAGACAAGTATATGTTGATCACCATCAGCACAATAACCAATCAAACTCACAAGATTGGGATGGTGTAAAAGACTAAGCATCAGAACCTCCACAAAAAATTCTCTATTCCTTGCAGGCCATTTCTATCTAATTGCTTCACAACCACAACCTGCCAAATTGAGAATAAAATTTAGAAAGCAACAACAATTAACCTAAACCCTAGTTCAGACCTCATTTTCTAAGTTCCAGGGTCATACAGAGAATTATTACAATTACCTGACCAGTGGTCTCAAGACGCCCTTTATACACACGACCGAAGCCACCTTCCCCTAGTAAAGACTCTGGCTAGAAATTCTTTGTGGCGGTAGCAAGCTCCCGAAAAATGAAAATATGAGCTGCTATATTTACAGCAGATCCATCCTTGGGAGATGGTAACTGTAACTCCCTTTTGGATAGACCAAGGCTTCTTGATCCAAGATTTTCGGGTCCTGTACATTCACCAACACCAGATCAAAGATCTCTTCTCAAACAAGATTGGAACTTTCAACTACATCATACATAAATATCATGGTGTACTCCAATTGTGACAGTCCATAAAAGCATATGATCCATTAATAGTATAGTTTTTTGTTAAGATGACAAGTGATAAAAACAAGTTAAAAGATAGGAGTTTGATAGTTATGGAAGACAAAATGTGACTAAAAATGGGCAAAACTGAATCAACCCCTTATTTCTAACACCCACACATCCATAACACAAACAGGCATGCGAAGCCACGGCTTCAGCAGCCAAAGCAAGCACCACCACACATAAGTCTGAACTGTAAATTCGGCCACAACTAGAAAATAGAGCAATCCTCTAATCAACCAGGTTGTTTACACCATGATCTGGGATCAGACGTGTCTTAAGCATTAATTGTAAACCATCCCCCATCAGTGTTGCGATTAACCTTCTTCCCGCAAACTAATCGGCCTGTGATCTGGGCACCAATTCTGTAGGCGAGTACATTAAAAGGAGAAGCTTTTTTCTCAAATATTATGGAATTTCTCTCAGTCCTAATACACCAACAAACGACATGGAGGAGGACTCTTGTGCACTACTGGGACGGATTTTTGGGCTTTTGGTCAGTCCACAATACAATAAGATTGGTAATGGTCCCTTGAATCCTAGTATCGATCCTGGAAAAATTACTAATGATCCTCCAGACGTCCCTGGAAAATCTGGAGTGCAAGAAAATGTGATTAACACTCTCCTCCTCTTCTTGACAAAGCTCGCATCTATTCGGTGAAAGCCAACCTCTCTTCTTCAAGGCATCTTGGGTGATGATCCATTCATGGTATGAAGTCCACAAGAAAAAGCAAATCTTCATGCCACACCATTTTGGATGGGAAGGATGCTACTCCAGGGTACCTTTCCATGATTCATGGTTCGTATATTAATTTCGCAGTGAAGCCCGTCGCAGGTTATCTGGCTATATCTATAGCAAGATAAGACGACAGGTTTTTGAGTAAAAATAATAAGCTCTCTCTCCCTCTTTGCCCCACCTAAGTGTGTATTTTTTATGTCAATAACCCAGGTACCTCTCTCATCCATACTTCAGAAGTTATCAATGATTCGATTGTTAAAGAAGACAACAACTGTGGCAACCCTTGTGAAGATATCAGAGAGTGTAATTCCATCAATCCACCGATCAAACCAGAAAGAGTTCCAGGTGCTACCACCTTTGACATGTGCAAAATTATAGAACCGGCCCTTTAGCTTGTTGATTTCAGCCCACAGACTCCATCCGATACTGCCTCTACAATCTCCCGTATCCACTCATATATGGGGTTAGGATACTTGATGTTGATTAAAGTCCACCAACACGCATCCTTTTCAAGAGAAAACCGCCAAAACCATTTAGTGAGAAGGGCTTGGTTTCTACTTCCAGGTCCAGGATTCCCAACCCTCCTTTCTCCTTAGCGGTTTTGCAAGTATTCCAAGAAATAAGATAGATTCTTTTCTTCTCTTGCGTGCCCGACCAGATAAAGTCGTGTTGTACCTTCTCGATCATTTCAATAACCGCCTTTGGGACTCTAAACAGATAAGCAAGGTAAAGGGGCTGACTTGCTAAGCAAGAATTACTAAGCACAATCCTTCCACCTGTCAAGAGATACCGGCCTTTCCATCCCTCAATTTTCCTTTACAAGTTAAAAGCTATTTAATTGCAAATGACGTTTGTTGCAGGTGCTAAGCCCATGTAGAAAGTTGGGAGAAATTCCCACTCGCAACCAATAATCTCAGTCAAGACCTTCTACATCACCCACATAAAATAATATGCTTTTCTCTAATTTTATCTCAGTCCAGTAATACTTTGGAAAAAAACCAAGGCTGCTGAGATATTATGAAGTTCGTCCTCGGTAGCGTCGCAGAATAAGATCACGTCGTTCGCATAAAGGAGGTCAGTCACTTCTCCCCTCCTTCTAGTTTTGTCCATACAAAAACATGAAATTAAGCCGACTTTGCCCATTTGCTGTAAAATGTAAGAGATGACATCCTTTACCATGCCAAAGAGGAAAGGGAGAGGGGATCTCCTTATTTTAGACCTCTTCTCATGTCAAAGTAACCGACAACCTTCCCATTAACCAGAACCGACAACTTAGAGGACAAAACAATGCCCATAGTCCATCTCTGAACTCTCTTATTCAGCCCTGATGTTGCAATAACTTTCCCCTAGAAGTCCCAACTCACACTATCAAATGGTCGCTTGATGTCAAGCTTGAGAACAATTCCGGGCTTGCCACTTCTTCTTCGGCTATCCAACATTTCGTTTGCCAAAAGCCCGACCTGGTTAATCTGTCGTCCCTTAATACCTACAAATTGATTTCTTACAACAGAGCGATGCATAAAACTAGGATTTCAAGATTATCTTGTTGAGACTTTTCACCAAACTAATCGGTCTGAAATTCCTAACCTCTTCCCCTAAATCCTTCTCGGGAACCAAGCAAATGAAGGCATGACCAAAGCTTTTAGCCAGCTTTCATGTGAAGAAAAACTCATGAAGGGCAGACAGGAGATCCCTTTTAATAACAAGTCAATCCTTAAAGAACTCAATAGTATATCTATCAAACCCGGGTGCATTGTCACCGTCACAACTTACAGTAACCCTACATATTTCATCTTTACTAAAAGGTCTGGACAGTCTATAGTTTTCATCTAGGTTGAACAAAGTGCTTTTGTATAGCAAGATAAGGGTATGTTTGATTGTATTTCCTTGAATGACTCTCTGAAATGATCCACAAAGGCCATTATAATCCCCTACGGATTTTTAATAGTATTACCAATGACCTTGATGTATCTCACCGTCTTCCTTCTCTTGTTGTTGCTCGTGATCTTATGAAAGAGTGATGTGTTCTTGTCACCGGCTGACAACCAAAGTTCCCTTAATTTTTAGTCTCCATGCAATCTCTTCCATTAGCAATGTCTTTTCCAGATTACATCCCAGCAGATTTCGTTGCACACTCAGACCTTCAGAGATGGGGCCTTGTCCCTCCAATTGATCAACGACTCTATTCTTCCCAAGTAAGTCAACAATCTTCATCTTAACTCTCGCAAAAACCTTCTTATTCTCATCCTTAATCTGGAATTTCGATTGCCAGAGCATTAGGTCGAAGATGAACAACCCCATGCTCATTAATCGGCACGTTCCGCTATGAGACCCTCTACGACAGACAAACTATCTAAATACAATTGTCACATGTATTTTATATTTATTCTTATTATACCACAATTTCAAATAAGAATACAAGAAAAGACTAGAAAGATACTTGAAAAGAAGAAACTAGATCAAAAAAATTTACAAGTAAAAGAATGAAATCCAAAGTCAATGTGAATTTTCAGAAACCAAAAAGAATAATTAACCAAACAAATGAAATGGCGTACGTGGGCCAAACGGCCCACATGGCTGGAAGACTGGCACCCAAAGCTATTAGGATTTTAGGAAGGCGCGACCAGAAACCTCGCGCCATTTCCGCTCGCCGAAGGAGATACCGGACAGAAGTTTCAACCTTCAAGCCCCAAAAATGGCGATCTGCTCTCCAATGCCTCTCAAGCTCCTCGTCAAAACTCGCTCTGTCGTTTGCCTCTCTTCCTGCCACCTCCGTCTCCTCTCTACTGAAATTACCACCGTCGTTTCTCCACCACAGCCGCCGGCGGAACAGGAAGCTCCGGTAATAAAGCAAGCTTTGGAGATCCTTCGGAGGCCGGAAAAAGAATGGGATGCAGCGCAACTGAATCAAATCCTCTTCTCCGCTTCCCCTTTCTTCCTCTTCAAAATCGCCCGCCGGTTGCCGTCTTCCTCGCAAGCTCTCAAATTCCTGCAGTTCCTCCGACAGAGCAGCAGCGACCCTTCGCCGCCGCCGGATGAACGATCGCTATCTCACGCGTTGCAGGCTGTCTTCGAGCTCGCTAGTCGGCAACCCAATTCGACACAGAGCGTCTACGAGGTTTACACGGCTTCCAGGGATTTGGGCGTCCAACTTACCCCAAATGCCGCCGCGATTCTCCTCCGATGCCTGGGGAGAAACGGGATGATGAGCGAAGCCGAGTTTTTCTTCAACGGGTTCGATTCGGCGGTCAAGAATTCGCATGTTCGCAATGTGTGGATCAAATTGCTGCTCCAATCAGGTCGTTTCGATGACGCACTCAAGGTGCTCGACGAAATGCTCCAACCAAGTACAACCTCCGACTGCAAAGTCGATGACTTCACAGCAGCTCAGTTTTTCACGTTTTTCTTGAATTGGAGGAGCCACGGGAGGCTAATACCCGAAGAAGAGATGATCGATTTGGTGTTGAAATTCGCTCGACTCGGTGTCTTCCCCACCTCGGTTTGGACGACTCAGTTCGTCACCATGCTGTCTTGGAAGCGCAAAATAAACTCTGCTTGGAATCTCTTAGATGAACTAATGAAGTTAGAAGCTCCAGTTGATGCAGCTCCTTGCAATGCCTTGTTGACAGGGCTAGGAAAAGAGATGGACATTAAAAAAATGAACGCAGTTATGGTGAAGATGAAGGAAGCAGAAATTCAGCCAGACGTGGTCACATTCGGGATTCTCATCAACCATCTCTGCAAGCACAGGAGACTCGATCAAGCACTTGAGGTGCTCGACAAAATGCAGGGGGAGATGTCAATTGAACCAGATGTCGTGATCTTCAACACCATAATTGATGGGCTCTCCAAAGTCGGCAGGCAAGAAGAAGCATTTGAATTGGTCGAGAAAATGAAATCTCAACACCGAGGCTGCTCCCCCAACACAGTCACCTACAACTGCTTGATTGACGGATTCTGTAAAGCAGGCGAGATCGACAAAGGGATCAACTTATTCCACGAGATGCAGGAAATGGAACTCGTTCCTAATGCCATCACGGTTAACACTCTAGTCCACGGGATGTGTATGTATGGAAGAACAAGCAATGCAGTTCGGTTCTTCTATGAGATGAGAAGCAAAGGCCTTTGGGGCACTGCAGTTAGCTACACCTCGTTGATCGACGCCTTCTGTAAAGTGAACAACATCGCCAGAGCGATTGAGATCTTTGATGAAATGGTTACAGATGGGTTCCCTCCTGATTCATACGTATACTACACTTTGATCTCAGGGTTGACCAGAGCTGGAAGAATGAACGAGGCGTTGACCTACTTCCAGACCTTAAAAGATTCTGGGTTCTCCCCTGACGTAGTCTGCTACAATGTCTTGATCTCAGGCCTATTCAACACAAACAAGGCTGACAAGGCACGAGAGATCTTTGAAGAAATGGAGAAGGCTGGTGCTAGACCAGATGGTGTGACCTACAACACCCTGATCGCTTATCACGCGAAAGATGGAAACTTTATCGAAGCACGGAAGCTACTGAAGAAGATGGTTAATGAAGGCCACGTTCCTACTGTGGTAACTTATGGAGCTTTGATCCATGCTTACTGCTTGAACCAGAAGGTGAACGAAGCAATGGCTTTGTTCAAGGAGCTAAGGGGTTCATCGAAGGTGACTCCGAATGGTGTGATCTACAACATATTAATAGATTGCTTGTGCAAGAAGCAAGATGTGCAGCAGGCGCTTGCGTTGATGGATGATATGGAGGTGAGAGGAGCGAAGGCGAGTGCCAATACGTTTAATGCGGTGTTTAGGGCTTTAAGGGAAGAGAGGATGGTGAATAAAGCGTTTGAGTTGATGGATAGAATGGTTAGACAAGGTATTAATCCTGATTACATGACGATGGATATTTTGACCGAGTGGCTGTCGGGAATTGGTGAGATGGAGAAGTTGAGGAGGTTTGTTGAAGGGTGTACTGTCTCTGAAGGTGATCATGCTGCTGGTGATGGTGCTGCTGCTGCTGCATCATAGCATTTGCTCTTGAAGATCCCTTCTTGGCTTTGAAATTAGGGCCGCTTTTAGTGGTTTCATAATAATCAGTAAGTTATATTGGTTTCATTCTGTAGTGGGCATGATTTGGAATAGGGTTTCATTTTGTTCTTATTGCTAGAACAAACTCTTGAGAGATGTGAGAGCGCTCGGTGCCTGACGTGTATTTGCTTGAGCTAGTGTGTGTTATAGTTGATTTTGTATTATGCAGCAATCGTTTCCATTATTCATTAATTTAGTTCGGCCCTCGTACTTAAACATCAGTCTTCGATCGTACAAGGTTGACTACGTGTATTTCGTAGCGCTGCAACTAATGATGTATCATTAATAAATATATTGAGGTTAGTAGCAGATTAGCTTTTATTTGACTTATCACTTATATTTACGGATCTCCTTTTTTTTTCTGGATTCCTGGGGTCTTTACAGTTGGAAACCTTGTACAGTTGTACATGGGAAATCAGGGATGTTGCTTTTCTCGACTCTTCTGCAGTAGAGTACGGTTCTTGCTTACTCGTTGAGACTCCTGTGACTTGCGCGTTATTTGACTGAACAATTAGTATCGTGTGTAGCGTCAGTTTTCCGGATCATCTATCTATCGATATGATTTGACCAGTAGTCACTGCGAAAGTAATTTTTGGGTTGAAAATGGGAATGGAGGTGGCAGGTTGTTCAAAAGGATCTCTTTCCCTTCAAATACTATACATTTCTCATGAATTTTTTTTTACAAAAAATATCATATATTAATCCAAACAAATAGAAAGTTACATTCTGGAAACTAGCCAGGCTCGGAAATCAATGAAATGACTTATGACTCATAGTCGGGTACAAGGAGAGGGCTTTTCTAGCCACCGAATGAGCTATCATATTGTTCATCCGACCTATAAATCGCAAACTAAACTCAGCATGAGTGAGCAAATAATGACCTATCTCTTCAAGGACAGCACCCAACCGGTTATCTCGTGTCAGCTTGATTAATTTTGTCAATGATTACTTTCGCATCGCCCTCGAATCGGACCTTCGACAATCCATACTCCAAACACCAAACAATAGCCTCTCGAAGCACAAGCAACTCCACCACCATCGGCTCATCAATTTGAGGAAACTGAACCCCCTTAGCCAAAAGGAGAGTCCTCGCCGGATCAAAAAGAACCATCCCACCGGCCGAATGTGATCCACTCCTAGTGGCCCCATCCCACATGCAAACCAAACTTGAATCACCCACGTGAGTCACTGGCTGTACCAAAGGAAAAGACACTCTAGGAGCCCGGTCAATCGGCAAGCCCACCCATTCCACATATTGCTGGTTAAACTCACGCATTAACGCAGGGATCCCAAACTGTTTGCCTTCAAAGACAACTCAGTTACGAGACTGCCAGATCCTTCAAAGGATGACAACCACAACCATGAACAATGCCGGTTGATGAATCAGCGCCAGCAGTCTTTTGAGAAATAAAGGAAAGGTATGACGAGGCAAACCCTCTCCCAGGTACTCCAGCCCCGAATAGTCCCAGAGTGCCCGCGCAACCTGGCAATAAAGAAACAGATGTTCCATCGTCTCAGGACTATCCCAGCAAACCGGACACTGGGGAAGCACATGGACCTTCTTTTCAATGAACGCCTTAGTATTCGGTAGTGCCCGATTAAGAACTTTCCAGACAAATACTTTCAGCTTTGGAGGGATCTTCGCCTCCCACAAATGGATCCAACTAGGCTTATCCATCCAACTAACCGAGGATCGCCACCTACCCCTCCTCCTATCCAACTCAACAGCCAAATGGTAAGCCGATTTTACCGAGAAAACCCCGTCTGTCGTGTTATGCCAGATAAGTTTATCTGTCACATTCTGGCGCGAAAGCGGAATAGCCTTGATGGCACGACAGGTATATGGATCAAACCATTGACTAAGCTTAACATCACACCAACGCCCTTCCCCTTGACAAATAACCACCGCCACCGAGGGGTCACCCCCTTCCAGTAAGATCAGCGGATTATACCGAGGGGGATCCAGCTGAAGCCCAAGTATCCAGTTAGAATGAAGAAGAGAGGTTGAGCAGCCATTACCGATCTGCCATCTTAAACCCATCTACAATAACTGGTGCCTAAAAAGGACACTCTGCCACCCCCATGAAGGGCGTGATCGAGCCTTAGCGCCCAGGAAGGTTCTTTGAGGGAAATACTTCCCTTTATAAACCTGGGCAAGGAGGGAATGAGGTTCCTTGAGGATACGCCAGCCAATCTTTGCCAAAAGAGTTTGGTTAAAAATGTTCAAACTTGCGAAATCTCATCCCCCATCATGTTTACTCCTACACATATTGCGCTAGGACACCCATCGAACCTTCGGATGGCCCTCATCAGCACCCCACCAGAACCGGGCCACATGTCTATCCAATAGACGACAAAGAGAGAGGGGTAACCGGAAACAAGACATAACATGCAGGGGTAAAGTTAACGCTATTGACTTAATTAATGTTTCCTTTGCCGCACAGGACAACATTTTCTCGGGAATTCGGGTGCAAATATTCATGGATTTTTCTGTTTATTTACGGGCTTTGTATAATTCAGAAAATATAAGTTTTATAGATGCCTCTGGTTCATCTCTCATCAAATGGTACTTTACAATAGGGCTGCAAATAAGCCGAGCTGAGCGAGTTTTACTCCAGCTTGAGTTTGACTCGTTAACAAATGAGCTGAGCTCGAACTCGAGCCATTTATTTACGAGCCGAGTCGAGTCGAGTTCGAGTTAGGATTGTTTACTAAATTCTTAGATCGTATTTGATACATTCATTTTGTATGCCGTGTATGGTACATGTGATTGATGTAACGATTAAAAAAATAATCAAATGTTCAAACCAAATAGATGTTTCTCACTAATGGACCTAGACCACTTCAGATATATATAAGGTTGACATTCCATCCGCTAGACTTGAAGCAGCTTATTTGTCAAAAAAATTCATATGATAATATTAGTACTAAACAGTCATTTTATACATAATTCTCCGAATTTTGTAGCAATTTACACCTAAATTTCAAAATTCGGGGGCTCCTCCAAAGCCCTACATAGCTTCGCCCCTCAAACAACTACTATATATATTGGTTGTACACCTTGAATTAAAAAATGCAACGTCGTGCAATCAATGCAGTCAAATTTGTTAAACAGTTGAAGCAACCAAGTAAGTGGAAGGAATAAAATCATTTGATTCAGAATGACTAAAATTTAAGGTGAAAAGCATAAAGATGAAGTGTTTGCGAGGGAAAGCAAAGAGAGAAACAGTTCGATTGACTCACTTAGTTAGTCAGGTCGTTAAATTTTAAGTCAAATTGAATACGTAGAAGGTAGAACATGGTAGGATGGTTAGTAAAATTCGAACTCATTTCGGCCATGGTTTAACACTTATGCGTAACATAAACAAATACCTAACTTCCATCCAATTGATCGATGACATAAACATGACAAACCCAAAAAAAAATTAGTTGTTGCATGTGTAGGTTGATCGAAGATAATTTGTATAAAAGGCATACATGCATAATTTTTTAACATATATAATAAGCTCAACCTAAGGGACATGATTTGTGTTAGAGTTAAAAATTAAAGGAAAAACACCACTACAATACCCGACTATCAATAGAATGATACTTGTGTACTACTTTATTCAAAATTCCATTCATATCCTAAACGTTTTTTTATTGTTGTTAATTTTGAATGGCATTGTGGTATATTGAATTTAGTGATTGCATGTGTAGATTCCCCTTCTGGTAACAACGATGATAAGGAAGAAAGCAAAGTGAAGTCGGCGATGAGAAGCAAAGGCGATTGACACGGTGGCGGTAGATTGGTGCCACGATGATGGTGACGATCGTGGACGGAGGTCAGGGGTTGTTTTTTTTTTTTTTGTATTTGCATGTCATATTTGGAGAATCAATTTTTGTTTTCAAGGTTGTCTTGGGATGTAATATTTATTCTGGATTTTCTGGATACTGATGGAAGAGGAAAAGAATGGGTGGAGGATTGTCACCGACGACAAGCTTTGGTTTGTTAAAATTTGGGTGCCTTTATGTAATTGTATCTCGGGTTTGTTCTAGCAAACCATATATATATATCGTTGTAAACAGAATAAAAAAACTAACGAATAAGAAAAGCATAAAACCTGAGAGGGAGATCCTCTCCGTGGACTAGTGCCTCATTGGCGATACCACGTTAAAAAATCTCATGTGTTCTTTTTTGTTCTTGGATTTGATTAGACTCTTCGACATGGTATCAAAGCCTGCGATCTGAGATCTTAGTTCGTGTGGATTGATTGGATTTTCTTGGCCTTTTGCGTTGGTCTCTCGTGATTGGCTCGCTGGGTTCCGTATTCATCAAGGTTCTTGGCTGTGGATTTCTTTTGTTGGCGGTCTTCTTCTTCGGCTGCTTTGCGTTCTGTCTTCGTCCGGATTCTAGGTTTTTCGGTTTTGTCAATTGGCAGTCTTTTTTCTTTGGCTGTTTTGGCTTGGTTTGGTCTTCTTGGCTTTCGACCGCTTGGCTGTTTTGGTCTTCGAAGGTCGTCGCCTGCTGCCCATTTGAACGGCGACTTTCAAGGCCTTCTTCTACTGCCGCTGCTAAGGACATCACCGATTGGGCAGCCAGTAATGCATAGATTATCACTTGGTTAATCTCTTCTGTTGATATGGTGACGGGTCTCAGCTTGGGGCGCTTCACTACTGCTCATGAGATGTGACAACATATCACGACCACTTACTGTCAGGAAAATACTTCTCGCCAGTTTCAGCTTGAGGTCGAGATTTCTAGGTATGTGCAGGGTGATCGTGATGTTCGGACATTTTATCAGGGGTTGTTTTCGTTGTGGACGGATTATGATTTGCTGGCCGCCTCGTTGTTTACGGATGTTGCCTCTGTTGTGGTGATCAATGAGAGGAACCAAGCTCGTTTACTTCAATTCCTGATGAAGCTTCGCCCGGATTTCGAGCCTATCCGGGCCTCGTTG